GATTGATTTTAATATATTTTCGATGTATTTTTCTTCTTCGGTCGAGAATTGAGGGATACTGATTCCATGGGCTCTTAAATCAGAGCGTATGATTACTCAAGATTTTATTTGATTGTGAGTAAAAATAATAAAACTTATCACATTTAAATTATTAAAATTTATTTTTAATCCGACATTTTAATTTTTGCAGCGTTATTATTAGTGGATACTCGTATTCGAAATAGACGTCCCATTTTTACATTTTTATATTTACTTTAAACAATGCGTATTACGCCTATCAACCTGAGTATATCAGTAATGTCAGTAAAGAAAATGTGCTCTCCAGCCGGGATAGCACTCGTGTCCCGCTTTGAGGAGAAAAGCTACTGTTTGCTCCGGCGTGCTGTACGACTTGGCCACGTAGAGCGCTGAAGTTGAGCTAGCCTATATTTTCCCTTTCAAGGAAAGCACACTTCCTCACTAAGATATTTTTTTCTCGAAATCTGCTCACTTTCATATCCGAAAAATAAACCAATATTTTGTATATGCGTGTGTGTGTGAATTAGAATCATGTTTCCTGTCCTTCCCACCACATGTCGACGATTGAGCATCCCATAATTTTTTCTTGCTAGAATCTGTCTTACATATTTGTATGGCTACCATTCAAACTTGCTTTGAATATTGTGGCCATATCTTATCTGGTGGTCCTGCTATATATTTGGAGATTCTTGATAAAATCCAAAGAAGAATCTGCAATGTTTAAGGTTCGCACACACACACACACACACACACACACACACACACACACACACACACACACATATATATATATATATAGAGAGAGAGAGGGAGCGAGAGAGAGGGAGAGAGCGTGATTGGTATTAGGTGACGTTTACGTAAATACTTTATATATATATATATATATATATATATATATAGATAGATAGATAGATAGATAGATATATGCGTATGTGTGTGTAGAGATAGAGAGATAGAGAGAGACTGAGAAGCAGACTGAGACAGAGAAAGAGAGAGAGAGAGAGCAGAAATTGATAGATATACCAGGTGTATTTAGCTTCCCTGTGACGTTTCTATAAATTCAATACATATATATATATATATATATATATATATATATATATATATATATATATATATAGAGAGAGAGAGAGAGAGAGAGAAACAAGCAGACAGAGAGGTATTACGTGTATTTAGCCTCCCTGTGATGTTTCTATAAATTCCTACACACACGCACTCACACACATAAACACAGACACACACAAATATATATATATATATATATATATATATATATATATATAGAGAGAGAGAGAGAGAGAGAGCATGTGTATTTAGGTTCCTTGTGACGTTTACCAAAGAATATATATATATATATATATATATATATGAGAGAGAGAGAGAGAGAGAGAGAGAGAGAGATATTAGGTGTACTTAGGCGGCATGATTTTATCTAGACAAGTTTTATCAAATTCAAGTTCTGTCTTATTTTATTTTCTGTTAGATATTTTTCAATTTTCGAATAAGATGAATATTATGTGGCGAGAAATTCTAAATAAACTGTCCAAAGTACGTGTAGTTTTTTTCTGTTTCGTTCATACACTTTAAGCTATAATCGATGACTGAAATTTCTCTCTCTCTCTCTTTCTCGCTATATATATATGTGTGTGTGTGTGTGTGTGTGTGTATGCTTTAATTGGTGTGGCGATCACGAGAAATCCGATGAAGTTAAAAGCTAATTTATTGTCTTCTGTTTAAAGAGTTTAGAAATTAGATGAGACATTAATTTTACTCTTTGCATCTTTCTCGTCTACTCTGTCTTATCTACTCCATTCTCCTCTCTCTTTCTATCTCTCTCTTTCATTCTCTCTCTAATTTTCTCTTCGTTTACGGGGGCTGGGGAGCGCTTAAATTGTAATCCTCTATTACCTTTACGAGCCGTGTGAGACAGAAAACTGCTAACAGGGGAAGTGGAGCGTTAGCTGACATACCGTCATGTTATTTTTTGTCTAACTTGTTTCGGCGTGTTCAGTTCGGTAGTTAAAGCATGGGATGGCTTGCCGAGGGAACTGATAATTCGGTCATCCTCTGCAACACGAAACACCATATTTACCAACGGGGCTGCCATATTTCTTAAGTTCCTTACAAAAATATCTTTTATATTTATTTTTACATATTTTATGCATTTGGGCAAACGTTAAAATAGTTTTTTTTCTAAAATTTCGTTATTAACTGACTCGAAAACGTTGAAAATTGATAATTTATATAAAGAAAATAGCTAATTTAAAATTATAAAATTAAAAAAAAGTACAATATAACACCGTAGTAATGCTAACATTAATATCAGCCAGTATCTGTCTATATTTCTGAGATGAGGTATTATGTATATTATTTACATTATTCGGACTATTGTCCTCATCTTTGTCGCCATATTTACTACAACGTTTCGGCCATAGTACGCTCCGGCCTTCTTCAGGTGCTTGGAATGTCGAACTGAACCCTTTATTTGGCTCACTCGGGTAGACTGTTCTAGTTCCACGTGCCATGTCTAATGGATCAGTTATTTCCTGTTAATTTACCTCTGAAAGTTCCCCACTACCTTAGCGGAGTATTGAACTCACACTCTTTGGGTCCTGTCACTGGATCTAACTAACACCTTTATCCACTGTGCCATGTATCCTTGAGGAACCATTTTTTTGCTGTTATTATTATCACGTTTTTACCAAATCTCATATTGCAATTTTTGTTGTTATTATCGCTTTTCTCCAGCACTCCTTATTACTGGTTCCCGTATTGTATTCATTTTTATGCTTGGTCGGCTCAGGAAATTTTTGTGACCTAGCATATGTGCTGATTCCTTAAGTTTACGAATTTTCCAATGGTATTCTTTGTCTATGATCTCAACCTGATCCCACAGAGAGCGGTGATCTTCCTTCCCTCTCCATATGTGGTCAGCCACG